ATTCACATGCAGACCCTCAAGTTTCCTTGACAAAATACACTTCAGGAGGCATGAAAATCTGTCTTGGAATTCTCACAGCAAACAGATTTTCATAGATCTACTGAACCATCTGGCATTCATAGATTACCGAAAGAAACTTTGAGATCATCTCCGAAATTATAGAGAATTGGGCCAGACCTGATTCCTGGAGAACTGTAACCATGAAAAGCAGCATCTCCGAGAGGGATTTAGTTAAACACAAACCGAATCTACCACAACCTCATGGTACCACCTGATCAGAAAGGATTGATATTGTCTCAACTGTTTTAACATAGAGTAGCAACATGTAAGAAGGTTGAAGTAAATAAATGAATACATAAACAATAAAAAAGGTAGGGACTGAAGTTTAGTCCAAATTCATTATGGCTTTTAGGAGCCCAAATCTTATTGATCTCAGTGAGCTCACATCTCAGAATTTGCTATTTGTAGCACCATTTAAAATCCAAGAGGAAAGAGAAAATGACTTACAACAAAAAGCTCATCAATCTGTTTAGCAATCAAAAGAAAGATCAAGGAAGATCAAAAGGTGATTTGATTACAGCACAATTATCTCAAAGGGAACAAGAGGGGGAAAAAAAAAAAAAAAACTTCTGGGCAAGAAAGAGCTCTTTAATATAGTGAAGAAAGCCACAACAAACATCATTGTCTAAAAGCTGCAGACAAATTCATATGGGAAGGCATGAATTTTTAATAACGAGGTTGACAAATCACTCAAACCATCATTGAAGGAAGGAGGTTTTTTAGGTTCTTAAAAACGGTGACAAATTTCTCATCTGCCTCCGCGTCTTCATCAGTAGGCTTGATATAGCACTTCTTTCACTATGTAAGAATACAGTATATGCCTAATGGGGCAGTAACAATCTGTTAATATTTTCATATTAATTTCAAAGTGAAAAGTTTCTGCTGAAAAAACTAGTTACAATTCGTGTTTTGATTTTTTCAAAGTTCTACTGTAATCAGGTTTGGGTGTGATGATTTTATGCACAATAGTCTTAAGGGTTCAATGTCTGCAGATAGATAATTTATTCAGTTCAAAAATCAAAAGAAGGCAGCACATATTTTCCCCAAGATAAAATTAAATTTAAAAATATTTAGCTCAAGTACTTGTGGAAGGTAAGAAAGCCAATGTTTCTGAGAGAAATCTAAAAAAAACCTTGAACATTTAGGCTTTATAGGCACAAGTTCTTATGAGTTTTTTAAGCAAATCACATGACTGCTTAAAAGATGCAAAGAGCATCATTACTTTCTCCTAATTATGACAAAATACTTACACTGTTATAAAGAGAAGTGCTTTTGCGTTTACGATGAGCGTTTTGTCTTACAGTATTGTAGCCATAGACCCACCCTCTTGTTCATAAACATTCCTGAAAGGGAACATATTATTGAGCAGACGCAGAATGAAACACTAAGCAAATATACATTTTCAAGGACAGAGAACTCAAGCCCATGATGATTTTTGATAACTGTGAATGAACAGTGAAAGAACAGTGTTTGGAAGGGGAAAGTTTTTTGCATTTGCATTCCCATTCCTGCCTCAAGTCTGTCTCCTGATTGTTTCAGCATCTTGGCAATTTTAAGTGATTCTTTTCCAAACACGTGAACCAGTCCCTTTCTGATTTTGAACTAATTGCCTGTTAATGATTCAGTTCTCACCAACATTCACTTTAGCCCAGCTCCTGCTTTTACTAGCAGATAGCTACTCCTGCTGCTACCAGTTCAGCTGGGAAACCACATCACTGCAACATTTTCAGAATTGTATAGTATTCAGCAACCTATTAGGAGGATAGACAGGTAAGTCAAGTAACCGTTTATCTACAGTTTTGGTTGCTTGCTGCTCCATGGCAGAACCCCAAGTAGAAATAACTAGAAAACACAACACCAATGAAAAATTAATATCTAGGATTAGATATTCTAGTGTGACAAACTATCAACCTAATGTATCTAAAAAAATTGTCCTAATAAAATAAACTTCTCCTGAGCCTACAATACCCAAGTAGTCCACTAAAGAACCACGGGTCATTTATATTACAGTCGTCGTACAGAACTCTGCAGAAACCTTCTATCCAGATAAAGTACAGCTAGATCGTGGCAATAAAGCTTGGAAGGACCAGTTTGCCCTTTTATTAGATTGTACAACTTAGAGGGGACAAGTAGAAAAATGAAGCTGCAAATCTCTAATTCTAGTAAGGCATGAACTTTCATACTCATAAGCAAATCTAATTTCTTTATCTGAACAGTCTCCAGAAAAATCTCTACTACAGTAGAAACTTCATACTTCACTGAATCACGATAACTATATCAGCTATGAGTTGGTGTTTTTCCAGAATTGTAAAAGGTCTCTGCAAATTATTATTTTTTTAAAATAACATTTGTGGTATTTCCAAGTTTCGGGAAACATTTTAAAGCATTACTGAACCTCATTTTACAACTAAATGCATTACCTTAACTATTATTCAGTTACATGAAAACAATCTACAGGCATTGGAGTTCAAGTATCACATTATCAGTTTAGAAAAACATGTTTTTCATTTAACATTCTTCTTGCATTTGAAACAGGTTATATTACATTACCTGTCTAGATAATTCAGATTCACATAAAATAATTAAAAATGTTTCATCCACAAGTCTAGCTCTTCTTCCATCTAATGAAAAGTATTAATGTTTCAATCTTTCTACTGCTGTTGTAACTGTTGCAAAACCAAAACCTCATAACACAATGCCAACCTCCCCCCTCCCCACCCAAAACAAAGTCCTTACTACTGGCAATCCAGACAGGCTTGTTGCTCAATATCAAAACCTACCCCTGCACAAGCCATTATACCCAAAATGTAGCTTTCTAAAGATTAGTTTCATGCACTCTTCTATTAATTATCTAATAACTTTTTTTTTAAAACTAGAAAGATGTAAAAAATGTTGAACATTTTTTTCAGATCACTGTAGAACATCCATTGCAGCAACTAATCCTGCAATAAAGATTGGTTAGTACGAGCTATAGCTGCTAGGCAGCTCTGCTGAAATCATCTGGACTATAAACAGGCAGAAAGAGACTGTTGACAGGAGGTATGGCCTTAAGGTTCCTTCTATTCCCTCACCCAGCATTAATACACCCTTTGTTACTGATGTGAAAGGGACTGGAACTCTCTTCCAGCCTCCCATCAACATGGTGTATGCTACAGTACTGAGACACTCAGGAGAACTAACTTCAACCTTGATTTTTTCCCTGTGATAAGAACAATTCTTTAGCCTTTAGAAACATATGGTACTTCTGTGGATTCAGATAGCATTTGAACTGTTACCTACGGAAACACAACCTGCAACAGAAGGCAAAATATATCATGCCAAGCTTGTAAGGTAAACAAAAATTTACCATGAGACAACATTTCTTGCAGGAAGTGTCATTTACACAAGATCCTACTGCCTATTGCACTCTTCAAAGATAAGCTTGTGTATTTCTAGAAATCGTTAGGAATCCTCAGCAGTAGACTGACTGAGTCTACATTTTGATTTCAAAGAATCTTGAAAGCCAACAACAGATGGCTCTGGAAGATTTCTATCTTGTCATTTGCACCTGAATGGAAGAACACTCCCCTTAATATAGTAAATGTGTGTGCAAGCTTTTCCTACTGCATTAGAAACCTCTTCTCAGTTGGTCAGGGTTTTTTTTAAGACTGGGAAAGTTTAGTTTTAATGGCCAGAAAACCAATTTTTCTTTCTGTTTGAATGACAGCTGCTGAGTACAGATCACTAGAGTCATCATTCTTTTCCTGGTACAAGTCCTGAAGCACAACAGCAAATTTTGATTCTCAGGAAGTCTCTTGATCTGCAGAAGTTACATCAACAGCTCAGCTTAAGATCCTCCTATGTTGGTCCCTTAAACACCGCCCCCCACCCAACAGCATATATGGAGAGAAGATATGAAGGAGAATGTAAAGACAATGACACATACAATTTATCTTAATTTATAGTGAAAATCTCTAGTTACATGAACCAAGAAATGAAAAATACAATCATGATTTTGGCCTTCAGACAACAGAGTTTAAATACTGTGTTAAATACTCTGCCTGAAATAGACTTGTCACTGTGATCTATTATCAAGCTTGATTTTAGCTCCATTTTCAAAAGTAAAAAAGACATCTTTTGTTTCATTTTGGTTTTAAGTGGTGCACGCAATATGTGAAAATGTGCATACATATTCATACATTTATACACATATATATGTAATACAGAATGCCTTGGTCTTGGCTGTGAAAGATGAGACTCCTGGTGGGACAGAACACTATAGCAGTCAAACGAACATAATCACTTTGATAATAGAATTTTTCCTAACAGATCACAAGTTTCCAGATGATGGTCCCCACAGTTCAAGAGTTACATTGCAAATACTACAGAGTAAGATTCTCCTGTTAGAGCTGAAACTGCTTTAAGCTTAAGAGAATCAGAATAGAACAACATACAAGTAGTATCTTTTTAGTATAATGCAGAGTTATCTCAACTCAATACAAAAACCTCAAGGAGTATAACTGCAATGGAAATCTGCGTTTATGCCAGCATAATCAGATATGACCTGTGGAAGCACTTTTTAATTAAAACTGGAGTTATAGTACCTTGCATAAGGACTTGGACACAAGCTTGTTATATCAGCTTTCTTTTTCACTTCAATTAGGTGGTAATGTAAAACAGTTTTACTACTTTCAGTGCATTTTTCAAGCTCACTGAATAAAGCAAAAGAACTTTTGCTGTTCAGAAAAAGAACATTGTTGTTGGAATGTAAAGGCAGGGAATAAGATTCACATTTATGAAATATTTTCAGGAGAGCATACAAGACCTGAATCTCATTTTAACACATGGACAATAAAGAAAAATACGTATAGCCAGGTATTGTTAGATGTCTTCCAAAGTACTTTTAGGACTTCTCGGATTCCACACTGCATTAATAAAATATGTGTAAGCTTAGTACTTACCCACAGAGGCATAATCATTTGGAAGTTCAGGGTAAAGTTTGTTTGTATTCTTTTTAGCTGAAAGAGAAAATTAAGTAGCAAGTTATATGATATACTAACATATATTGTTATATTTCATATACTGCTTTTCTAATAACAATAGTTATAAAATGATTGCAGTTATCCAAGGAGCAGTACAGAAGAAAGAAATAAGGACTTTGCCTTATATCCTTGTCCAGAGAAATAAATCAAGTTAACAATAGGAGCTGCACAGTAAAGCCTCACTTTAAATCAGCACACTTTGGTAGATAAACTGTTATGGAGCCAAAACTCTGCCTCTTCTACTCTACTGTAAGACCTCCACCTATTAAAAGATAATGACAACCTAAAAGAGAAATTTTAGTTTTCTACAAACCAGAAGTTTCTACAAGTAGGACTAGCAGTTTCTAGTAGCATTGTTCTTACTAAGAAGTTTCATTGTACCATGAGGCTTCTATGTATCCAATAAACATGAATGCTTCCTTTGAAATATTACATGCTTCTGTTAACTATGCAAACACTACTTCTATAGCAAATCTGTCAGAGAAAGAGGTTTGTTAACATAAAACAAACAAACAAAACCTTTACCCTTTATTGCTCATGGCACTATCCCAACATGCTTTCAGTGTTTGCCCAAGGAAGAGTATTAACAAAATATTTTTGTAGAGAAAGCTACTACTATAATAATTGCATAACATTCATTAGATTTAATGCTCTAATTTTATATAGAGAATAAATTAATCATTACTAAAATGTTTTCTAACCTGGTGGTGTTGGCCTAATAGTGGGTTTAGGTGGCTCTGGTCTCGATGATGGTCTAGCAGGTGGGTCATTTACCTAAAATGCACAAATTTTTTTTAAAAAAATGCATCACACCTGGAAGTGGATTGTAACTTCAGAGCCTGGAGGTATGTCAAGTTACACTGAAAAAAAAAAAAATCACTCTTTCTCCACTGAAACTGTATGAATTCAAGAAGCACACTAAAGAATTAGTGACATACACCTGACTGTAAAGTAATTCAACATGGATTTAACAAAGATGAAAGTAAACGATTGTCTATCAGTAACATCAACATCTACAAGAAAACATCTTCTACAGTTCTCAATATTGTATTGTAAATGTGATCATTTGAATGGAAGACAGAAAAAGTAGAAGAACGAAGAGTATCCACATCAAACCTGGTATGATCATTATTTACAGATTAACTTGATTAGGAATAGTTGAACAAACTTTTCTAATCACCACCTCTGATTATGCTATTATAAGAACAAGGATATATTTTGTTATTCTGGAGGATGCAAAGCAAAACCAGCAACATTCTTGTCCAGAAGAGCTGTGCTGGTTTTGGCTGGGATAGAGTTAATTTTCTTCATAGTAGCTAGTATGGGGCTGTGTTTTGGATTTGCGCTGAAAACAGTGTTGATGATACAGGGATGTTTTAGTTACTGCTGAGCAGTGCTTACACTAGCCAAGGACTTTTTAGCTTCCCGTGCTCGGTACATAAGCTGGGAGGGAGCATAGCCAGGACAGCTGACCCCAACTGACCAAAGAGATATTCCATACCATATGACGTCATGCTCAACATATAAAGCTGGGGGAAGAAGAAGGAAAGGAGGGAGCATTCAGAGTGATGGCGCTTGTCTTCCCAAGTCACCACTACGCATGATGGAGCCTTGCTTTCCTGGAGATGGCTGAACACCTGCCTGCCGATAGGAAGTAATGAATGAATTCCTTGTTTTGCTTTGCTTGCATGAGTGACTTTTACTTTACCTATTAAACTGTCCTTATGTCAACCCACGAGTTTTCTCACTTTTACTGTTCTGATTCTCTCCCCCATCCCACTGGGGAGGTGTGAGCGAGCAGTTGTGTGGGGCTTAATTGCCAGCTGGGGTTAAACCATGACAAGAGCCTACCAGGGCAATACCTGAAGGAATGTCTTACATGCAGTATCTGCAATGTGTTACGCCTTTAAGCATCCAATAGAGAACTTAAGAATGCCACATGAACATCAACATTGCCACTGACTAGAAACAGTTCAGGAACAGATAAAGCCTATGTGAAAAAGAGGTACACAAACCCTTCTTTGTTCCCTTACAGCTTTTCCTGGATTATTTTTTTGCTCTTCATTTTCATATACTTCAGTGAAGGATGCTAGAGTTTCATAAAGATCTTCTGCTTGAGCAGGAAAAGGCACATCACCAAGCAAGATGGCACTAGCCCGAATATCCTGCCCATAAAACCTGATACAAAAGAAAAGATGCCAGGTATTTGATCACCATAACATTTCAATATCTAGATGAACCCATCCTCATCCCTCCCCGGCCCCACGTTTCTCCTACTGATCATCTATTGAGAAATGACAGAACTAGTTCAATGCTTTAAATTTTGAATGAGAAGTAATTGCAGCAAACTTGAATGCCTACCTACCACCTTATTTCAAAATGTTCTTCACCAGTAATATTCTGTTCCTGGTCATGCAGAATGCATCAGCTAGACCATTTGAAAGCCAATCACACAGCAATCACACACTACTTTTGCAAAACATTGTAATAGATTCCTTAATGATGTAGTAAAACTCCTTAATGGAAGCACTGGAACCTCAATTTTATGAATGGAGATAGCTGAAAGTTACCGACATACTGTCCTTAAAATCAGCATTAGTCTTTGCTGATATTAGCAGAATCAAAGTTTTCACAAACACAGAACATACAAGTGCAAGACACTCAGCGGTTCCTTGGATTTTAAGCTTAACAGGCTGCACAAAGGAAGCAGCATTTCATAAGCGGGGTATTTTCTCAAATTCAGTGATGCTCTAAACCAGATTTTTTTGGTTTCAAGTGGCCTAAAAAAATATTTCTCATTAAGCAGTAAATACCTCAATAGCTATCTTCTATGATATTATACTGGGTTTACATTGCCAGGTTTTGGTAGGGGATGGTGCTGCAGGGGTGGCTTCTGTGAGAAGATGCCAGAAGCTGCCCCATGTCAGACAGAGCCAGTTCCAGCTGTCTCCAAGACGGACCCACCGCTGGCCAAAGCTGAGCCCATATTTAAGAAAGGGTAAAAAGAGCTGCGCAACAGCAACTGGGAGAGAGAAGTGAGAATATTTGAAACAACTCTGCAGACACCAAGGTCAGTGAAGAAGGAGGGGGAGGAGGTGCTTCAGGCACTGGAGCAGAGATTCCCCTGCAGTCTGTGGTGAAGACCATGGTGATACAGGTTGTCCCCCTGCAGCCCATGGAGGTCCACAGTGGCAGATATCCACCTGCAGTCCACGGAGGACCCCACGCCAGAGCAGGTGGAGGTGCCCTGAAGGAGGCTGTGACCCCGTGAAGAGCTCCTGGCAGGACCTGTGGCCCATTGGGAGAAGCCCACACTGGAGCAGGTTTGCTGGCAGGACTTGTGAACCCATGGGGGACCTATGCTGGAGCAGTCTGTTCCTGAAGGACTGCACCCTGTGGAAGGGACCCATGCTAGAGCAGTTCTTTAAGAACTGCAGCCTGGGGGAAGGACCCACATTGAAGAAGTTCATGTAGGAACTCGAGGGAGAGGGACCCCACACTGGAGCAGGGGAACAGCATGAGGAGGAAGGAGTGGCAGAGACAAAACTTTATGAACTGACCACAATTCCCATTGCCCACCCTCCTGTGCCATTCAGGTGGAGAAGATAGAGAAGTTGGGAGTGAAGTTGAGCGCAGAAAGATGGAAGGGGTGAGGGGAAGGTGTTTTTTAGATTTGTTCTTATTTCTCATTATCCTACTCTCTTATTAACTGGCAATAAATTAAACTAATTTCCCCAAGCTGAGTCTGTTTTGCCCCTGACAGTAATTGGTAAGCGATCTCCCTGTCCTTATCTTGACACACGAGCTTTTCATTGTGTTTTTTCTCCTCCCATCCTGTTAAGGAGGGGGAGTGATAGAGCAGCTTGGTGGGCATCTGGCAGCTAGCCAAGGTCAACCCACCACAGATATATAATCTTTACACATTTAGCATCTTCTCAATACCATTGCATGATGTCTAAATTGAAGACACTGTTGCCCTTCAAGAAACTCTAAACTCATCACAGTATGTTCTCACAACAAACTCTTTTTCCAATTTTAATGTGTCCTAGTTCATTTTGTCACTATGCCTTCATTGAATCATCTAGACTTGAAAAGAACTTACTTGCGATTTGTTTCTTTCCTTTCAATTAAACAGGTTCCTTCCAGAGATACACCTGCAAACAGTCCTCGAGATTTGCAGTATGTATAGACAGCAGCAGAGCTTCTCAGGGCAACATCCCCTTCTAAGTTTCTAGAAGAAAAAAGTTTTGGTTGATATTCTTCAATATGGCTTTGCAACGTGAACAGCAATTGTCTTTTTATTTTAGTCCTACCAAAAGCCAGCAAGAGTTTCACTTCTCTCTGTTCTTACAAACTCTATTGAATATATTCAGCTCGGTCAGACTTGAAATCCATTTTCAGTTCTTATTTCAGACAGGACCTAGTACAAAGTAATTAATTTCTTTGATAAGGTTTCCTCTGAAGCACAGAACAATGTTCCCCCATCTGAATGCTCCATGTTAGACCTTCTCTTGCATTCAGCAGTCTGAAAATGATTAACCCATGTTTTAATCGTGTTTAAAAACAATCTGATTACATTTGTGGTGACTTGGAACCTATCCAATATATCCAAATCTTCCTTGATTTTATGGGGCCCAAAACAGCATAAAATATTTCAAGTAAGGACTTATCAGACCTCAATAGAACTGGAAGATTACAATGTTTGTCCTACACAGGATCACAGAATATTTTAGGTTTGAAGATACCTCAGGTAGTCAGCCAGTCCAACCTCCTGCTCAAAGCGGGTACAATATCGAATTGAGATCAGGTTGCTCTGGGCTTTGTCTAGCCAGTTTTTGAAGACTTCCATGGAGACAGATTCCAGAGACAATCTGAGCAACCTGTGTCAATGCTCAATTATACTAATATTGAAAATTTTTTTCTCATATCCAGTCAGAATCTTCCTTGTTTCAATTTACAACTGCCACCTCTCACTATCTTGCCATACACCTCAGTAAAGAGTTGGGGTCTGTCTTCTTGATTGGGAATGCAGGCTCTTACAAGATGTCAAGGTCTTCTCTCCTCCAGGTTAAATATGCCGAGCTCTCCCAGTCTCCTAGTTCATGTGCTCCATGTCCCTGGCCATCTTGGTAGCTCTCCGCTGGACGCACTCAAGTTCATAAACATCTTTCTTGTACTGCAGGGCCAAAACTGGGCACAATATTCTAGGAACAGTCTATGAAGTGGCAAGTAAAGGGGAACAATCACTTCCCTTATCTACTGGTTGCAGCTCTGTTCATGCAGCCCCCTACGCTGTTCGCTGCCTTTGCTGTCAGGATACACTGCTGACTCGGCCTACTGTCTACTGGGATCCCCACACATTCTCAGTAGGGCAGCTGCCCAGCCTGGCAGGCCCTGCCTACTTAACTGCAGAGGGTTCAACCAACAAAGGGTGCAGTACTTGGCATTTGTCCTTGTTTAATTTCATGAGGTTTCCTGTTGCATCTTTCCTCTACACCCTCTAGGTCCATCACTCTGAATGGCGGCCCTTTTCTGAAGTGTATTGGCTGTACCCTCTGATTCGGTGTCATCCACAAATTTGAAAAGCCTATTTTACATCAGCTCCTCCCAGTCACTGATAAAAATATCAAGCAGGAGAGGTCCCTGAAGAGTCTCCTGAAGAATTCCACAGGAACCTGGCCTCTGAGTACAACATGAATAATTTACCACTATTCTTCAAGCCTGATGATCCGGTTTTCACTTATTTGCTAGTATGACCCACCGTGACACCTAGGCCACAGGGATGTTGCAGGAAAGCATACTGAACGCCTTGCAAGGCAGATGACATCCACTGCCCTCCCCTGATCCACAGATCTCTCTCATCTGTGGAACAGGTATCATCTTATCCTTTTATTTTTTCAGAAAAGATTATGAAACATCAGTAAAAACTTCCTAAAAACAAAGGTGTAAGGAGGCGTACGTCCCATGAGAAGAGTGAGGCAACTGGGCTTGGTTAGCCTGGAGAAGAGAAGACTTAGGGGGGACCTAACAGCAGCCTAAAGTATCTATGAAGAGGCAATCAAGAACATGAAGCCACGCTCTTTACAGCAGTGCATGGTGGAAGGACAAGAAGCTATGGACATAAACTGAAACAAGAAAGGTTTTGATTGGATGCAAGACAAAACTTTTCACAACGAGGACAGCTGAGCATTAGAGCAGATTGCCCAGAGAGCCTGAGGTGTCTCCACCTTTGGAGGTTTTCAAGACCCAACTAGAATAAAGGCCTGAGCAACCTGATCTAAGTCATAACAGACCTTGCTTTGAGCAGAAGATTGGACTAGAGATCTCCTAAGGTGCCTTCCAAATTAAATTATTCTGTGATTATATAATCTCATCCTTCAAAGCAAGCTGGCTTAACCACTTAGGGTTTAAAAGTAATTATTTGGTGTATTTTTTATTTATTGTCAGCCAGATCTGTGGTGACAGAAAGCACATGCCCATAGGTCAATGAAAATAATAGTTCAGTCAGGCACAGTAGCACCTGTGCTCTTTATTGAACCCAGCCAAGCAGTCTCCTGCAAAAAGAGAATAAGCATCAGAACACCTTCCTTCTACCCATAAATGCCTTTATCAGGAAAGAAAAAAAAGCAAAAAAAAAAAAGCAACAAGTGACTGAAAAGGTATAACACTACAAGAACAATATGGTCCAGTCAATATATATGTTGCACAGGTTGTTTTGTAATATATCAAAAAAAGTCATGTGAATGTTTATAAATAGCTTTAAAAACTATCTTCCATATTTAATTTTACCCCATATTAGGAAAGTATTTTACTTACCTCCCCAGAGGTCCAATTGCCACAGTAAGATTTCCTCCAAGTGTAAGATTCCCTCCTTTGGCAAAAGCTTCTACTGCTCTTTCATGATTCAATATTATCACTAAGTCCGAAACCTATAAAATATCAAATAAAAGTACTATACTTTTTAAGAAGAAAGTTAGAATGGCATGGGAGAAGAATCTTATGTTTTGCAGGAAAACAGGTGGGAGCATCAAAGATATTCCCTTCCCCAAATGAAAACTAGCTCCAGATTTATCAAGGTTTTAATTCAAGCGAGAATCTCTCAGAGAATTACTTCCTTTCTTGCAAAGTATTCTTCTGAAACAGTTTTCATAACAAAGTTGATACTTTTTCTGCAAGATATTTAGAAACTAAGAGTCCTTTCACTTACATTTTTAAACAAATTTGACTGATTTTTTTCAAGTGCAGATATGGTAGTATGTTTCAGACAACAGCTGTAACAGAAACGCTATTTTAATTCAAAATTTCCCAATTTACAATTTTTTATTTTCTATGGCTTTTGCAAACAATTATGAAGGCATTTTCAGATTAAGAAAATCATTCTGATCCTTCCATAACTGAATTAATAACAGCAAGACAGAACTTAGTAAACAAAAATTACTTATTTGTCTGTCCAAAGAATAAGCAACAATAAAAAGAACACAGGTTTTCCCATTATTGACAAAATTTTATTTTCTTGATCGAAAATTAGGGGTTTAATATATATCTAAGTGTGTGTATATACATGAATTAATATTTATTTTTTTAAGTCTTGAATATATGAGATGTAGCCAATTTCTTCAAGAAACTATTAAACCAAATACTGGAGAGCTAACAAAGTATTTTTGAAAGACTCAAATGCAAAATAAAAAAAAAAAAGAAAATCACTATTTTTGAAAGACTTTATTTGCCTGGATAGTGAAACAAAATGCATGTATCGAAGAACTTTTACTACTATTTAAGTTGATACCTATTACCATCAATACTGTAAAAATATAACTCTCTTCAATTTAACAAATTTCAACAGAAGTCTCCTACAACTCTTTTCCCAAACTATGAAGCATTTTAAAGAAGGAAAAAGTATTTCAAACATAAGCATGATCCTATAAAGATCACTCTACCTGAAAGTTCAGTAAACACACTGCAAGTACTAAAAAAACCAAAAAAACCTGCAGCAGTACCAGCCTGTTCAACAGAGTAGATTACACTTTTGTAGCTTACTGTGATGGATTATTTTTTAAACAGATGTGCCCAGGGACTAGTGCCTGATCTTTCATCTGATGGACTTGACTGAAAGCCAGGTTCAGAAAAAACTTTCAACTTACCCCAAATTCCAAATAGTGACAGCAGAGAATACAAAAGGAAATACCAGATTATTTGTAAAACAAGGCTCGCCCAGAAGTATTACACACAGCGTAAAAGAGGCCTGTGTTATTAGCCCCCTGGTAATCTCCACCCCATCCCAAACAAAAGATGGCTGACATGAGTAGTTTCTGAATCATCCAGGAATGGAGAGAGAATGTCATTCAGGATGCTGCTACCTCCTCTTACCCATTAAGAGGATGAATCGACAGCTGAAGCTAAATGAATCCACAGTGAGAAAACCTTCAAGGAAAGCATTTACATGAATTTTAAAATTGGTCTTTAATTTGAGGTACCAAGTTGTTTCACTTGGAAAAACATGCAAATACTATGACTTCTGAAGTCTGTGATTTCCTTCTTGTTGTTTAAAACCACCCATCAGTACCACTACAACTATGTCAACTATAATCTCTCCTACAGGAATAAAATTCAACTGATTTCTACAAGTTTTAAGTTTATATATGACTAAAAGAATGCTGAAATTGGACTCTGGGCTCCTAAGCCACTTAGGTCTTTCCGAATAGCATCTCTTCTCTAGAAGAAGTAAATAAGATTGTGTTATAATAATGCCAGTAAAGAGATGGTATTTTGTAAGCTGAATAAAATTTCAAATGAAGGGCACAATATTACGCAGAAAAAACACCCTCTCGGAAATAGTTTCTGTATTGAAATTATTTGACTAAGTACCAATAGCAAATCGTTATACTACCTAAAATATCAGATGGAGATGATTAAAGGAAAAGTTTCATAGAATAATCAAAGCATCTGAAGAGTCTGTTTCATTGTCATAAAAGCAAAAATCCCAACCCCAAGTCCTGGGGCTCAAACTCAATGTTTTGTAATGCATTCAGATCCTGTACCCATGAAAACCAAAGAAAAACCCTCACAAAAACCCTTACAAAAATCATTTTGTATCCACAGCATCCTTTAAAAAGTGCACAGTAATAATGCCTGAGATCACACAGTGGACAATGAGGATACAATAAAATATTGATCCGTTGCTCATTATGCAAGTGCTGGCTGACTGGCTGTCAGGACAGGGATAGCTGGCTAGTTGTAGGAGACACACCAGGGGCTGCCACGTACCACCCCGATCAGCTATGCATGTATTCTTCTGAAGAGCAGAATGCCCATAGCAAGAGATCTTGTTGGCAGCATACTGTTACTTTGATTTTTCTTTGAGAATTGGTAGAACAGAAGCTAAACAGAAAGAAAAGAGAAGGACAAGACTGGAGGCTAGGGTGGGAAAGAGGAAGAAAGATGGAAACAAACAAGGGTGAGGGAGCTGTGAGGAAGAAGTGACAGGAAGCAGAGGCAGAGAGCTGTCAGGGCTCAGATCAACAGGATTTCTCTGGACATGTTGAGAGTCCCTTACTCAAGTGTTTCTGGTGGTTGGAAACTGGCTTATTTTCTGCAGCATTTCTTCAGAGGAGGCACCATCAGTTTTGGTACTCCGAAACTGAAAGGTGAAGTCAGTAATCACAAGTTTGAGTGGGGAATGCATGAAGCACAGTAGCATTAGCCAGGCTCCATTTTACTCCACCTTCAATTCCTTTCACCGTTTCTTGCCAGATGAGAGTCCCTGTGCTCTTTAACAAAGCATTTGATACAGTATTAAGTATAGGATACTTTTAATTAACTCCAGTTGGCTTATATGTGAACACTGACTGGAAGTTTTCTGTAAAGGAAAAATTGAGTCTGCTAGAAGTGAGAAATCAAAGAAATAGCTGTTATGCCACTTCTCTTCCTTTAAATCTCTCCAAGCAATTAGACTGATCAAAAACCCGTATTTTGTTTGTCTTGTATAAATGAATTTATAATAGCTTTTTTACACAGAAAAATGGATCCTACTATCTCACCAACATTTAGATCTTTGTCAATGCATTTTAATTTCTTGCAAAAAAAGTTACCAACAAGTTATTTCAAATGCGAAATTATACCTCAATTCCAATTTCAAATCCACCACCAAGGCCAGCAATTCCTATTGCAGAAGGAGCAGACCAGGCTGTCATGCAAAACAAGACAAATTTACAGAAGTTTTAACACGTTATAAGAAATACTAATTTTAGTATTAGAGCTCAAAAATGCTAACAAGTTCTCTACTTAAAACTATGTTCACAACCACCAGAATGCAATCACATAATTATACTGATTTATCCCACTGGTAGGAATGTAAGAAATACAAACCCTCATTTAAACAAATCTTTGTTACAAATTATTTATCGTACAGCTGTCCATGACTGGATATAATTCATTATTCTGATTAATGTTAAACTATAGGCTTTTCTATTTCAGACTTTTCTACAAAGATACTGAAAGCATTATTTAAATCTGGTCCAATGAAGGCACAAAATTTTGAAGACAACTTTCAAACCAAACATTGTCACCTGCTGGCTTGACTCCTCACACATCTCGTGTTTTATGCTATGAAAAGAAATAATGAAGAGAAAAATTTTTTTTTTTCCTTTTAATTCTCCCATGAAGTACAAAAGGAAAATATCCACTTACTTCCATTAGGAAGACGAGCTAATACAATTCCACTTCCGCCTCGAGCGGTCACCAAAAATCCAGCTTTGATAACAGACAAAACTGCAAGGCCTTTGGCTTTAGCTATTACATGGGCTGAAACAGCAAAATCATTTATTCAAGATCTTATAAGAGTAGTTCAAAGAGAAGGGGAAAATAACAATTTTGAACACATAAGAGTCAAATAATTGAAGCAAAAGCTTAAAGAAAACTGTAATAAAGCTGAACTAATAATGACACCTCCACTCCACAGTCAACCACAAAGCTAGTCACAGGTTATATTAGCCTGCGCCGATCTCTACGCTGCCACAACTGCTTCACCCATCCCAGTTAGCTCATACAGAATTAGTTTACTTATTGCCATGAACATTGTGTGTGAGTACCCTTAGCAAGATAACGAGGCAGTAAATAGTTGACATTCATGTCTCTACAGATTTTTGGAGGAGAGGAGTCTGACTTTAAATCACAGCAACACACAGCAGCATAATCAGCTTATATCATCAGACAGTGTTTGTGGCAAATAAAATGTCATCATCCTGCAAGTCTTATTACAGGCCTTCTGGAACATAATAGTTATAAATTCAAAGCCACAACCAGCAACACCAGATGAAGAAAGACACTAGGAGAAACACAGAATAACAACTGCAAAAATAAAGAGGACAGAAGCAAACAAGAGTGCTTAATCTGTATCAAAGGAGAAATGTACCCTGATCTCTTTCCTTCAACTTATTTTCACCTACCTAATTCTGATAAACACAGATATTCAAGAACTAGAGCTACTATTCCAGGTTCTCCCTTAAGAACAGACATTCATAGGGTGAGCATGAGACAGTCCATCCACCCCAGAGAGAAGCCTTCCTGTGCAGATACCCTATGGTTGGAAACATGTAAAACATCTCTCAGTAAGTAATGTCTGCCTAGAATACATTGAACTGAACCCCTTTACTCCAAAATATTTTCACAAAAGTTATGGTACCCTAGATCTTCATTCCTCCCTAAGTTATGGTCAGTGAAAACAGACGGAATTGGTAAAGAGAGCAGGCTTTCAAACCAGGGGAGCACTGGAGGTTTTAGCTGAATCGAAACATTTTCTTTACTCACGAGGTATGATTTTATCAGGTCCATTTCTGGAAGTTATTTCTGTGAATTCTCGTAATATTTTAGCTGCCTTTTTAGCTTCTGACTTCAAGTTGGAAGGTATAGGGTTATTCACTGTAAAACATGAAAGAAATAAGAAATGATGTCTATAGTTAGTTCGGGATAGCTCATATAAAAATAAATCAGTGTGATTTGCATGGGAAAAGTGACTCTTTACAAATGAAGAGTAAACCAAACAAACCAGGAAACAGCAAATATAAGAAATTATTTTCTGCATCAGACCCACATTTTGTCTAATGGTAGTAACAGAAGACGCCATTTAGGAAAAGCACACAAGCCCGGTTCTTTTCCTCAATCTTGTAATTCCTCAGAATCCACACTGATAAGAGCAAGGATGTTGGAGATACAGCCTCAGTTGTTCTTGTCACTATTTATTTATGGGCTCGTGGCATATGAATTTGTCTAATACCTTTTCAAACCTGCTGATACTCTACAGTAGCAGTTGACTACCTGCTACTTAAAGAAATACTTGATCTATTTTAACTAATAGTTACAGTGAACGCCTACTAGTTCAAATCTCATGAATTCTGGTGAACAACTATTGCATCCAACCTATCCGCTACCTTCATGCTTTTATAAATAGCCACAGCCCCCCAGCCTTTTCCACTACTTCAGGAGTCCCAGCTTTCTCAGTCTCTCCTCAAGGTAGTTGCTCCATCACTCTGATCACTTTAATTGCTCTTCTCTGTACCACCCTCAACTCTGCTGTCCTTCAAACCTGCAACTGTTGACCAATGAACATATAGCACTAAAATATTAACATCTCTGCTTTCTCTTCACATTAATGAATGGTATTTCCTTTCTCCTCACAAGATTTCTCTTACAGAACTAAACTTGCAGCATGTTCTGAAAGTGAGCAAAGTTCTGTTTCAGACCAAGGAATTTCCTTTAGAAACCTATTTCCTGTTGAAGTGCTTATCAATATTTTCTCTCCAATGTGATCCAACATAAGCACCTCTGTAGATTTCAACTGTAGAAAAAGTAGGGATTAGGGATAGATTAGGTTTGATTTATAAAGCCATAGACAACAGTGGCAAACACAAAAAATCTTGAAATTTACCCGCCCAAATCCACGAGATCATAAATTCTGCAGAAGAGTGTTGATTCTGTTTAGATCTACCAGATCTGCTCCCATTAATCAACTACTGAACAGAATCAAGAATTATAAGATATTAATATTCTGCAACAGTACAAATACCATTTTATGTATGAAGAGTATTGTTTCACCTGCAGATTTGCAAAAAGAGGCCTTAGGGCAGATAAAAAGATATGAGTCAGTCTTGATTCTTACATCTACTAAAACCCCTCAAAGCTATCATTTACATTATTCTTGTTTTCCTGTCTGGACATATCAATACCCACCATTTCCAAGTTTATCAGCAACAAATTGTCCCAGTAATACATGAATATATTGTCAGACCAAAGATGCATCTAGCCTCACATCTTGTCTCTGAAAAGAACTAGCAACAGTATTTCAAAAAAATTCCACTGTTCTTAAATTCACAAAAGCATAGAAAACACTGTGCATAGAGAAAAAAAAAAAAACTTTCAGTCAAAAGTAGCCTAGATTTTTAACTGGTGTTCCCTGACCATTCATTTACCTCTTCACTCTGGGCAACATTCCCACCCAAAGCTATGAAGGTGAGGACTAAATACATTTTAGTCAATGAAGCTTGGAGAGCAATTCAGCTCAGACTAAGTGAAACACCTAGCAGCACGTCAGCTGAAATTTCTGTCCAGGCTCCATTGACTAGAATAGGAATTACACCTCTACTTTTCAAAGTGAAGTATATTCCTCTAGTATGTTCTCCAAGCAAGAAAGAAGACTCCCAGAACAAGAGGGATTTTGACAGCTGAGACTTTGAACTAGCTTCCCTTTGAAAGCTTGTAGCAATACTTGGCTTTGGTGAAAATGCAGCATGTGTAACATTGGAGAGTTTGAAGTAACAGCAGCCATCACAAGGTTGTGCAGAAATATCAGCCTCTGGGAACAGAAGGAAATAGATGCATAGAACGCAACAGACTGAACTGTGTGGTGGTAACAGAGAGAAGACATACTAATTCTGTCTCCTAATCATCCCTTCTGTTTTCAGAAAGTTAAGATGATGGCCAAGTCCCCATGTGTGAAGGGATAAGGGAAGATGAAGCTCTAAACTCTAAGAGCTCAGGACTTTCAGAAAAAACTATTGGCATGTGCAATTTTCTCTGCTACGGCACTAAAATTGTAAGCTAGCTTGCAGGAGTTTTGAACATGCATTTCTTCCTTGGTTCACCAGGCTGGAACCTGGCTACATGGACACAGCAAGAAGAGAGGCCAGTGTAGCCCAAACAAAACATGAATAGATAATTGCTTTTGGTAGATTAACAAACTGGGCTGGAGCAAATGTCTCCATTACTTCTGTTGTTTGTACCTGACATTACATTTTCAAGGTCAGAGGGGAAACACTGCCAGCATGTTGTAAGAGAAAAATAGGAAGATTTTTGCTTTTCTACGGAGATACATTAAGGCAGTCACAAAAAGCATATTGCAACACCATTCTTCTCAAGAAGGCATGAATAATACACTTCTGGCATATTATAACTTATAATTCACAATTAATATTGTAACACACAATGCCTGTCCATTTGCATAATCAGGTGAACACTTTTGTACGTAGGTTTTCACTTAACATATTTTATAAGTTTAGAGGTCTCGATTTTGAGGACAGTAACCTACCCAGTCTTCTCAAGATACATATTTCATGGTACTTGATTCTTCTTACTATTCAATAAGATTAAAGTGGAAGACATGCTTCGTTTTAACTGTGGTAAAATGGACAGTTACATCCCTGACCATGCAGGACTCCTAGCAAAGTGATCAATGAAAATAAGATGTGTGCACACTGGAGATAAAAAACATTACAGAACAAAAGTAAGCATTATCCAGCTTCTAGATTACAGAGAAATAAAATACACTTCTATGCTCCTCTCACTGTCCTCTTCCTTATCTCTGCATGCATTCTGTCCTCCCCTTTGCTTCTCTTTGGCCAATCTCAGATTTTGAGGAACATCCCCAATTCATTTCTTCTTACTACTAAAAAGGAAAAAAAAAAAAAGCTCTTATTTCATACAGATTAGGAGAGAAATCCTTTAGCTAAGTCCACTGAGAAAACATGAGATGTTTTGAGATCTAAAAGTCTGCAAACAAGAAGAGATGGATGAGTTTAAAAAAAAAAAAAAAATCCACTTACAGTTTTCATATGCATTTTCAAATTCAGAATTGCTTCATAAAGATTTGACGGTTACCAGAAAACAGTGTGTGCATGTTTATATGCACGCAGGAATTACTATTTAACTGAAGACAATTCAAAGCTGAACTTCATGAGCCAGCAAAAGTAATACTGTTACTACGTCACTGTCTCTTCAACTATCAACACATAATTGATTTCAAAATCAGGCTTTGGTCACACCTTGAGGCAGGAGGATGTCAAAGTAACTCTCTTCAGTGTTTACTTTGAAAGTTTCTCCAGATACCTAGGCTGACTCCATGATTTTCCTACCTGGCTTATTTTTATCCAGGTGTTGCAATTTAGCTGCACGAGGATTCTAAACATTATATTCCCAAATGCAAACTTCACACAGAAAAATAGCATTGCTTGAGCAAACTGAAAATTATGTATTTCCAATCCCTCTAAAAGGGTATTCTTTGTGCCACATGTTGTGGGGTTTCTTTACTACCAGGGAATAGGGGAGATAGAGAGAGATTCCTCATCTAGCTGTACACATCAACAGTAAGCATGAGAATAACGTAACTTCCCATCATCAAAACAACAGCAGAAACTTCACTTTCTCCCTGTATTACTTGTTGCCTACATCAATATTGCTTCTGCATCCCCTGGATATCTACAGGAATTCACAATTCCATTGTCCCTTGCTTTTTCCCTTCCTGTCACAGACTGAAGCAATGCAGGATTATTTTTCTGGACTAAGAAACAGCAGGAGGATTTGACAACAACATTCTGCCAGTTACTTTGCACGGAGCCAGATTTGTCCATTTTCAGAAGTGGGTTAAGAAATGGATGATATTTCTAAAGCACAGCAGAGATACAGGGAGGGGAGAGGGAAGGAAAAAAGGAAGAGGTTGAACGCACTGTCAACTGAAGAGCTCAAAGCTACGCCTTGTAGAGAAGCGTTGCAAATTACATCCAGATTTTAATTTAGACAGCAGCAGGTACAAAAATTAAAGTGACTTTAATTGGCAACCAAGCATGGCACTGAAGGGTTTTAATAACAATGGACAGGATCAACAAGCCAACTGATTAAACACTTTCATTGCTGAAAACCAACACAGTTACTCATTTTCCCTAGTGTTTTGAGTTTTGAGTTCCTTTATTTACTTCCATAATGTTATGTAGATACTAAGGAACTAGCAGGATGCCTACAAGGGTCTTGAGGAACTGACGATTTGTTTAAAAAAAAAAAAAAAAAACCAACCAAAACCAAGCCTACGCCCTGACCTTAATTACAGCTAATATGATGCTTGATAAAGCCTGTCTGGACTCCCATTTTGCTAAGATTGCTAAAGCCACAGCAAAAGAAATCTAATATTTTTATCACTGAGGAAAGGGGGAGGTTTGGCTCTCCCTGTTAGGCTATGCCACATTCAAGATTTTGTTAACAGAATTCAAGATTAAATAAGGACACAGACAACAATCAACATTAAAAGGCAAAGTTTAATGGTTAGCTATATAACGTGGGTGAGGCCTCACTCTTACTATCAAATTTTAGATCAATCAGTTTTATAGAACTTTGTCCAAAGGCAAAGGCCATTACAAATTTTTCATTAAAAAAACAAATAAAGGAAAAATTGCACAGATATGTCAAAGACAATTCAAAACTACTTTTTTTTTGTTTAAAATAAGTACATGGAGGTTTGCACTATAAAATGGTGGTCTTTGCCTCAAAATACAATAGAAATAAAATTACTAAAGATTATAGTAAAGGTTAGGGACAAAATCTTGTTTCTACTTATTTTAATCACTGTATAAACAGACAAAACCATAAGTGGGATTTCT